CCAGCGGGTCGAGGCTGCGGTGGCCGGGAGCGGCCGCTGCACTCCAGTCTGGGCGACCGAGTGAGACTCCAACTCAAAACAAACAAACAAAACACACACACACACCAAAAAACACACAGTGTGCTGGCTTTATTTACCTTCACACTTTTCAGTAGACACCAGCCTCCCCAAGGCCCTTTCTACTTTCTGCCTCCCCTTCTCTGGTTTTGGCAGCAGAAACGCAAATGAACCAGTGGGGAGGGGGTGGCCCTGGTTCTCATTTTTCCCATTTCAAATCCCAGCCCAGTCTAACTCGCCTTGGGCTCTGGGCCGGGGTGATTGGCAAATGGACTAAATTAAACAGTAAACATGGTCTGCCCGTGAGTACAGCGTCTAAGCTGCATTAACAGCTGAAGCAGAGGCTTCGAGGGCGACCCCTTGGGTCCGCATCCTGGGAAAGCGGTTTCACGCTTCTCGGGCTGTCTCCACATTTTGCTACATGAAGAAACAGGAGGGATCAGATCAGGTAATCCTCGACTCGCTCCAAGCATGGAGATGCCACAGTCCTCCTGGCCCAAGTGATGTGCGTGTCAGATGGAGTCTGGGAAGCCGGCTGGCTGAGGAGGAGCAGTGTTGATGATCAAAGCACTCAGACACGCAAACGACCACCGAGAGCGAGGCTGCCTCTCACAGGTGCTGAGCTCACTTCGCTTCTAGGAGTCTCCGTCTCCTGCTCAGAACAGGATGGACATGGCCACCGCAATATCTCCCTGTGGGGGCACTGCTGAAGTTAAACTTAAGAATGAGGACCTAACTCATGGCAGAAGCTCGTTCAGAGCGAGTCTCCACCCCTCCCTCTTCGCTTGATGAAATTCTCAAGCAACAGAAAAAGAAAATGCTAGGACATAAAGCTCCTTGAAAATTTGTTAACAACCACCTCCACTTTGATTCGTCCGTTCGCGACTGATTGAATTTTCCCAGTCTAGCTGACAAACAGAAAACCCATGGCACACAGTGCTCTTCACACCCACTCTCACCACTCTTCTGGTCCTGTTTAGTTTTCGTCACCTGTGAGCACTTGTCACTGCCTAGTGGTACACAGCTAGACATTTAAGCCCCTGAGAGTAGAGACCTGTCTACTCTGTTTTCCTGTCTATCTCCAACAAGTAGAATAGTATTTGACAAATGGTAAGGGGGAGGGAGAGCAAGAGAAAAAAGTGAGAGAGGGAGACAGAAGCCTCCTACGAGGGGCACAGGTTGCAACCACCTGCCGAATGTCGGTCTGCTCACTGGTGGAGAGCTCTGAAAACATGGGCCACACGGTCCCACCTGTGTGTCTTTAGCAGTCAATACAGTCCCTGGCACGGAACAGCCAATTCCTATCTGATTGGATAACTAAATGAACACATGCATTGATGCAGATCATCTGTCTCGATACATAGTTGCAACTCTTCCAGAGGCAAGTCAATTCCAAAAAGGGAGGAGGGGGAAGACTGCCATGCCTGCTGACCACAGAGAGGGCTGCGGTCCTCAACCCTGCACAGGCCCAGTCAGCACCCAGGAAGGCGCAGCGAATCGTTGACATTAGTCAAAACCCTGCTAGCCGGAAATTCAGTCACGATACACATCTCAAATACAAGGCAGTGTCAAAGCAGCCTCAAAGAAGAAAACCAGAGACAGATGGAAACCCACTCATGTCAAAGAGGTCCTTCCGCGGGCTGCTGTCGGCGCTGCTAACGGCAGGTGGCCAGGCCTGCGGCGGGATGCGCTGCGTGTTGACGTAGGTGGGCGCCTCCCCGGTGGGAGCCGCGTGCAGTCTCCCCTCTGGCGTACTGTAGATGTCCAAGGACCCTGCAACAAGAAAGCGAGCCCCCTTTTGTTTTATGGTGGTGACACTGCTCCTGCCTCGGCCGCCAGGCCACTGGCACGTCCCGGGGAAGTTCTAATGCCTCCCGGTAAGGTAGTTCTTCTTGCAACCCTACGGGTGACGTCCTCCTCCTCGGAGCTTGTCACCACACTGCTGGGACCTTGCTGGGATGACTTCTGGCCTTTCACGCCAGCATGGGGTCTGGTGGCTATGCCAACCTCACCCAAGAGTGAGACCCACTACCCAGGGCCGTGGCAGCCGGGCAGGCAGAGCACACCTGGTCTCTCCTCTTTTTGGCGAAAGCTCTGAGATCATATCACTGAGCAGAAGAACCGCAGAACTTAGCTTAATTGCTCCTGTTTGTTTTTTTTTAAGCATAAGCGAATGCTTTATAAATGAACTCCATCTGAGCAGTACAATACAGGCTCTGAGCTGGGTGTGGTGGCTCATGCCTGTCATCCCAGCACTTTGGGAGGTTGACACAAGAGGACTGGCTGAACCCAGGAGTTTGAGACCAGCCTAGCAGTTTGGCGAGACCTCGTCTCCTCCATAAATAAAAAAATTAGCCAGGCATGGTGGTGCACACCTGTAATTCCAGCTACTTGGGAGGCTGAAGTGGGAGGATCGCCTGAGTCCAGCGGGTTGAAGCTGCAGTGGTTGTGAGCATGCACACAACTGAGTGTGCAGTATTCTGCACCACCCACTGCAAATGTCTCCAGAGATCCCTCTGCCACTCCACAGAAGGTAAGTGACCCACTGGTGAGCACCTTAATTTTTTTTGCTTTTTTTTTTAAAGGCAGGGTCTCACTCTGTTGCCCAGGCTGGAGTACAGTAGCGTAATCATAACTTACCGAAGCCTCAACCTCCTGGGCTCAAGTGATCCCTCCACCTCAGTCTCCAGAGTAGCTGGGACTGTGGGCATGGATCACCACACATGACTAATTTTAAAATTTTTTGTAGAGACAGGGTCTCGCTATGTTGTCTAGGCCAGCCGCAAACTCCTGGCTTCATGCAATCCTCCTGCCTCGGCCTCCCAAAGTGCTGGGATTACAGATGTGAACTACTGTGCCCAGCCCTACTTGTTCAAAGGATTTTTTACGTTTCTCACCCACTTCCTCTCGCCTCTCACCTTGTCTGGCTGGTGTGTGCTGCCAATCTTCACCCAACGTGTCTCCCAAGTGTCTTCCCTGGTAATAAGTTTGTTCTTTTCCTGCAAACTACAGACACACGTAAATACACAAAAGGAAGGAGATTTTCTTCTCATTTCTCCATCTTTGGAAGCCATGGGCCAGCAGGCAAGACCTCAAGGTCGACTGCAATCTTTGTTACACTTAGTTTTCCCTTCATGCTTCACGGTTGATGCTAAGATTTGGGAAACAGGCTTGTGTGGGTTTGACGGAAAGGCAGCATCTCCATCAGAATGACACACAGCCCTCCTTGTTTTTATCCCACCGCCCCTCCTGACCAGCTCTGCCATAGGCATGTCCTAAAATACATCTCCGTGTGTTGGAACATACTTCCCACTCAACACATCCACCCGTTGCAGCTCACACCCGGGCAAGTCCACTCTGGAAACCAGGAAATTCCCCTTCAGCGTTTGATCCTTGATCTCAATGTTATTTTGTGATTTTTACTGGGGCTATGATCATTCACACAAGGTAGATGGCACTAAAAATCTCCTTTAACAAAATAGAGATATCATGAACTCTAGAAAGCAGCTGCCTCCTCGAATTTTGAGTTGGAGGGAAAATGAGAGGAACAAATAAAACAGAAAACTTTGTAAAATTCTTGTAATTTTAATGGCCTATCCCACTCTCTTTTCATAGACCCCAGGGCGCCCCAGGCCTTTTAAAAGTTTTGCATTCTCTCTTCCCCTCCTTAAGAGCACAGCATGATGAGATGTGTCTGAGGATACGGAGGACAGCCCCAGACTCCGATCTCAGGATTCACGATGCAGTTCCAAGGCTTCTGGATGACGCATTGCGGCACCAGCACTAAGCCTCTCCTGCCTGTATGCTTTGTGAAATCCGCTGAGAGAATGGCCATGAGTTGCTTTGTCAAAAACTGAACAAAACATCAACCTGAAATAAAATGGAAGAAACTAAGCGGAAATAGTGTTGCTAGCCTCAATCCACAGAAAAGCTTACAAGACTCACCTGGGCTGTGTCAGGAGCTTGGGGTCTGGATGTCAGTCGGGCATCCAGAAAGCCCCCTGAAGGAGGCATCTTGCTTGGAATGCTGTTGTAGTATGGATGGTCTGAGCTGTCCCCCTCTTCCTCTGTCCGTGGCTCATCCAGGCTCTGCATTCTGTTAAGAGAGGGTTGTCAAGGGCTTTAGCCAAACGGTGAACCTGCAGTCTGACCAACAAATCTGATGTGAGTACCTGTCACCAAAGGAGAGAGCTTAGTCAGTGCCCCTTCACCATCCAGGTCGCAGGCATCTATACGGTGTAGCTTTGTGGTCTGGTCAAACATCTCTGCCTTATTCGGTGCTCCACTATTTGGAAAATTCCAGTCACGTTTGAAAGAGGTTCTTTTCCACAAGCACATTTTAATTCAGAGATAAATTGTGTCTAAGGACTGCCAGACCCTCAAGGCACAGGCACACGTTTCAGTAAGCCATGAAATTTGCCCAACACAAAATCCACTAAAAATGGAGGTTTAGTGACATCAGAAGAAATGGCAGAAAAGAGCCTCTGAAAAATTCCCTCTCCCATAAGAGCGATAAGAAAACTGGGGAAGAAAAAGACCTCTGTCAGAATCACCTTTTCCAGAATCCCAAATTCACCAGAAGCTTGCAATGACTCAAGGGAGCGTTTATTTTAAAAAAACAAACTAACAGCTGTAAGAACCAGTTTCTTTGTAGCATTTTAAATTGCCCAGTTTCTATCTCTGTGATAGCCTTGAAGTCCAACAGCCCATAATCACAGTGAAAACCAGCATCCTGCTGGTCACGGACCGGGCAAAACAGCACTGAGGCTCCTTCAACAGGACATTTCCAGAGAACTAGCATGACTTGACATGGTTCCTTGAAAGACCCAACCCCCAAACATGTCTTTACTCGACCTGATTTGGAGTTTGCCCATGGCAAAAAGTGTTCTGCCTGGGGCCATTTGTCAAAAACAATTAGAGACAAGAGTTTAACATGGTAGCTCACTGAGGCAGTAGATAACATTTAGGCCAAACCGTAGGCTAATCAAAAAGGTAAAGCAGGGTAATGAAATATCCACAAGGACTTTAACAGGCTCTGACATGTTCTAGGAATCTAGAAGGTCACAGGCATGTGCAGGGCTGTATTCATGCCCAGGGCTGTGTGCCCACTCAGATGTGACAAGGCTCAAGCTCTCATCTCTGGCTGACCTTGAAGCTCCGTACAAGCAGAAAGTGAAGGCTAGGGCAGAGTTGTCAACTGCCCAGCTGAGTGTTGAAAGGGTGCCCCCAACTCACACACTGACCCCTCAGCAAAGATGGGGAGACTTAACAGTTCCAGGCACTTAAGGAAATACCTCTCTAATCATTAGCTGACTAGTAAGCAAACAAAGCATGGTCATCAGTGGACATAGATGACAAAAAGACAGACTTTCCAGAATTCATTTAGAAAAATCATAAAACAGCAAGCCAAAACAAACAGCAGCAACAACAAATCCTGAGAGGGGAAGGAATCTGATCTCCAGAATTGCTGCATTATATTACCAAAATTTTCAGTTTCAACAAAGAATTATAAGACATGCAAAGAAACAAGAAAGTATGGCTCACATACAGGGGAACAAAAATCGTTGCTAATAAACCTTTCCTGTAAGAGACACTAAAAGAAGTACTTTGGGCAGAAATAAAATGGCACTGATTCATATTAACATGAAGAAATGGCAAATAATGGCAAAATTAGCATAGATAAATATAAAAGATAGTATCAATGTAGTTTTACCTATAACTAGGAGGGTGGAAGAAAGGAGTCACATAGGAGCAAAGCTTTTGCGTACTATTGAAATTAAGTTAGTGTGAATCTTAACTAAAGTGTTATAAATTAAGATGTAAATTGTAGTCCCTAAGACAATGACTAAAAAATTTGCTTTAAAACGTAGTACAATAAACAAGAGAAGTAAATGGTACACTTGAAAAAAAATTCCTGTAATCCCGCGCCTTTGGAAGGCTGAGGTGAGTGGATTGCCTGAGCCTGCAGGTTCGAGACTCGCCCGGGCAACTTGGCGAGACCTCATCTCTACAATAAATCAAAAATCAACTGGGCATGGTAGTACGCGCCTGTGATTCTGGCTACTCGGAAGGCTGAGGCGGAAGGATCGCCGGAGCCCAGCAGGTCGAGGCTGCGGTGGCTGGGAGCGGCCACTGCACTCCAGTCTGGGCGACAGAGTGAGACTCCAACTCAAAAAAAAAAAAAAAAAAGAAAAAAAAATTAGTTAGCACCAAAGAAGGTAGTAATAAAAGAATGAGGGAACAAAAACTACATCACAGTTAGGAAAAATCTTAACTTATCAGTAATTGCTTTAAATGTAAACACATTAAACACTCTAATTAAAATGCAGGAATTGGCAGCATGTATTAAAAATGATCTGACTATACACTTTCTATAAGAGATACACTTTAGATTTAAAGACATAAATAGGTTAAAAATAAAAGAATGTAAAAAGACATTTTGTGCAAACAGTAATCAAAAGAGATCTGGAATGGCTATACCAATACTAGAAAAATAGGCTCTAAGACAAAATTGTTACAAAAGAGGAAGAAAAACAGTTTACCATGACATAAGGGCAATCCAACAGGAAAATATAACAATTATAAGTATATATGTATCTCAGACTCCAAAATACATGATGCAAAATCTGACAAAACCAAAGGAGAAATAGATAATTCAACAATAACAGAGATATTAATATGCCATTTTCAATCATGGATATAACAACTACATATAATTCTGTGAAATAGAAAATTAAACAACACAATAAAACAACTAGACCTAACAGATATCTATAGAACATTTCACCTAACCACAGCAGAATCAAAATGACTCAAGTGCATATGAATTGTTTTCTAGGACAGACCACATGGGTAAGGCCATAAAACAAGTCTTTCAAAAACTTTAAAGAACTAAAATCAAACTAAGTACATTTTCAGACTATAAAGAAATCAAAGTAGAAATCAGTAACAAGGAAATTTGGGGAGTATATGTAGAAATTATATGTAGAAATTAAACAACATATTCCTAAATAAACAATGAGGCAATAAAAAGATCACAAGGAAAGTTAGAAAATACTTTGAGATGGTTGAAGACAAAAACAACATATCAGAACTTGTAGGATAAAGCAAAAGAAACTTAGAGGAAAAGTTACAACTGTAAGTACCTATATACAATAAAAGAAGAAAGACCTCAAATCAATAACCTTACCTTCTACCTTAAGAAAAAAGGTAGAAAAAGAAGAGCAAACTAAACTCAAAACAGAAGCAAAAAATAATGTTAATATATTAAGAAATTTAATATTACAATGGAAAGAAATAAAATACAGAGTAGAAGAATAAGATAAAATTTATATAACCTAGAGTTGATTATTTTAAAGATCAACAAAATTGTCAAATCTCTAGCTAGACTGACCAAGAAAAAAGAAAGACTCAGATTATATAAGTTAGTGATAAAAGAGGGGACATTAGTGCCAACCATACAGAAATTTTTAAAAATTTTAGAAGAAACTGAATGATTGTGAGCCAAAAATTAGATAACATAGATGAAATGGAAAAATTCCTAGAAAGACTCAAACTACCAAAGCTGACTCAAGAAGAAATGGAAAATCTAAGTAGATTTGTAACAGATAAAAAGACTAAATTAGTAGTCAAAAAACGTACTGTCTATGAATTCTACCAAACATTTAAAGGAGAATTAAAAGCAATACTTCACAAACTCTCTGAAAAACAGAAGAGGAGGGAACATTTCCAAACTTAATCTCTGAGGCCAGTAATATGCTGATTCCAAAACCAGAATAAGACACCAAAAGAAAACTGTAAATCCCTTATGAATACGGATAGAAAAATCTTCAACAAAATACAAGCAAACCAAATCTAGCAACATGTAAAAAGAATTATACTCCATGACAAAGTAGGATTTATGCCAGTAATACAAAGGTTAGTCCAACATTCAAAAACCAATTAAAACAAATACTACTTAATCATTTCAATATATACAGAAAAAGCATTTGACAAAATACAACACCTCTCCCTGATAAAAATGTCCAACAAACTTGGAATAGAGCCACATTTCTGATAAAGGCATCTATAAAAAGCCTACAGTCAACATCACTGTTAACTGTGAAAGACTGGATGCCTTCCCCCAAGATTAGGCACATGACAAGATGTCCCTCTTACTTCTTCTGTTTACAATTACACTGGAGGTTCTATTCAGGGCAATTGGATAATAAAAAGAAATCACAGGTATTAGATGGAGGAGGTGGGGGGCGGGGAGAGAATGAATTCATATGCAGGGAGCCCAGAATGGTCCAAGCAATCTTGAAAAAGAACAAAGTTAGAGAGGACTCACACTTCCACTTTTCCACTTTCAAACTCACAAAGCTACAGCCTTCAAGACTTTGTGACGTTAATGGAATAAATTGAGTGTCCAAAAATAAACCCATACATTCATGGTCAATTGACTTTGACAAGAGTGCCAAGGTAATTTAATAGATAAAAGAATAGTCTTTTATTCAACAAATGGTGCTCTGACAACTGGATATACTTCTGTGAAAGAAAGAAGTTGGACTTCTGTGTCATGGCATACACAAACATAAAATCAAAATCAAAATGGATCAAAGATCTGTATGTGAGAGCTAGAAAGTATAAAACTTTTAGAAGAAAATGTAGGTTTATGTTTGTGATCTTGAATTAGGCAACAATTTCCTACACATGACACCAAAAACACAAGCTACCAAAGAAAAAATAGGTATACTGGATATCATCAAAATGGAAAAAAATGTGCTTCAAAGGACACTGTCAAAAAAGTAAAAATACAGCCACAGAATGGGAGAAAATATTTGCAAATCATATATCTAAAGGAAACATGTAAAATATATAAAGAACTCCTACAACTCAACAATAAGAAGATAGCCCAGTTCTAAAAATGGGCTAAGGATCTGAGCAGACATTTCCTCAAAGAGGAATGGCCAATAAGCACACAAAAGGATGCTTGACATGGCTAGTCACCAGGAAAATGCAAATCAAAATCACAACAGACCACTTCATTCCACCTAGAGTAGCTACAAGCAAAAAGATGGATGACAACAAGTGTTGGTGAGGATATGGAGACACGAGAACCTTCGTATTGCTGATGGGAGTGCTAAGTGGTGCAGCCACTTTGGAAAACACCTGTGCAGTTTCCCAAAAAGCTTAGCATAGCATGACCACAGGGCCCAGCAATTTCACTCCTAGGATATACACAAGAATACCGAAACATATGTCCACACAAAAACATGTGTATGTCTTCACAACAGCGTTACGCATAAAGGCTAAACGGTGAAAGCAACCCAAATGTCCATCAACTAATAGATGAACAAAAGGTGATATGGCCATATATTAAATTATTATTAAGAGCCCTAAAAAGAATAAAACACTGACAGATACTACCACATGGACAAATCTTGAAAACTGTCTTCTAAGTGAAAGAAGCCAGACACACATTGTAAGATTCCATTTACATGGAATGTCCAGAACAGGCAGATCCCCATAGACAGGAAGTAGATCAGTGGTTCTTGGGGAGCAGGGAGTGGAGAAGGTGGGGTGATTGTTACCGCACACAGGACTACTCTTCTAGGGGTAATAAAAATGTTCTGGAATTGATGGCGAAAATTGTACAACCTTTGAATACACCCAATCAGTTGAAATGTACACTCTAAAGGGGTGAATGCTATTATATATGAATTATATATCAACTTTAAAAAAATAAACAGAGACTCAGCTAGATTTGACTGGTTTCAATGTCTTTTCTGGTTTTGTGTTAAAAATATCCTGGGATTTCTGCAAGGAAAATTCTCCAAGGAAAATCAAAACATAACCAAAAAATCCATGTATTGAAAAGTACAGTTTCTGATTTCCAGTGGAAGATGGCTGATGAACCCAGACCACAGAGTGGCTCTCTCGATAATTAACACAATGAACACAAAATAATTTACACATCAGTAAATCCATACACTCACTAGGAGTGAGAGAAGGAAAGGGGAAGCGCCCACTCCTCAAATATCAAATGTCAAGGTTCTGGCGTGGCGTGGCGTGGCGTGGCGTGGCGTGGCGTGGCAGGTAGGACCTAACACTGCCACCTCCTTCCACCCTCACCTGCCCCAGCTCCACCCCAAAGCAAAGAAGCTGAACATACCCAATCCTTGTGCCTCCAGGAAATATTTCCTAATGTGAAGAGTCGTGGCCTGGAAGAGTGAGTAGAAAACTCAGGAACTCTTCCCAATAGAAGTTCCTCTCCTGCTGGTCCCTGGGATCCCAGCATCTCGGCAGGGAGATCTGCCCGTGCCCGCAGTCCAGGGCCCCAGAGAACCCGTGGGGTGACTGGAGGCAGCGTGGGCTCCCTTGTGACCCCAGGCTGCCCAGGTGGAGGGGGGGAGCTGGAACAGAGGGTGGGGCAAGGCCCTAGGAAGACGACCTCACCCCTGCTGCCAGACCCTGCACAGTGGACGCCAGGAGCAGCCATGGGACAAGGGAAGGCAGGTGTCAGAGTGGTCACCTACAGCATGGAGCGACAGGAATTCGAGCTACACCAACTCAGGTGTTCGCTGTACTGCGCGTTGTGTGTATCGGGACATTTTCATTATAAAATGTTAGAAGGGAAAACATGGCTGGGCTTGGTGGCTCAGCCTGCAATCTCAGCACATTGGGAGGCCAAGGTGAGTGGATTGCCTGAGCCCACAGGTTCAAGACCAGCCCAGGCAACTTGGTGAGACCTTGTCTCCACAGTAAAATAAAAAATAGCCGGGCATGGTAGCACACATCTGTAGTTCCGGCTACTTGAAAGACTGAGGCAGAAGGATCCCTGGAGCCCAGCAGGTGGATGAGTGCCACTGCACTCCAGCCTGGGCAAAAGAGTGAGACTCTGACTCAAAAGAAAAAAAAAATAGGAGGGAAACACACTTGACAAACACAGCCACACCCAACCCATCCCGCATGCTCGCCCACCCCAGATATCCTGGAGTTGGTGCGTGATATTCCTTTTGTCATTGTTGTTTTGTTTTTGTTTGTTTTGGGGGGAGGCGGTGAGTTGGAGTCTCACTCTGTCGCCCAGACTGGAGTGCAGTGGCATGTTCCTAGCCACCGCAGCCTTGACCTGCTGGGCTCTGGCGATCCTTCCGCCTCAGCCTGCCAAGTAGCTGGAACCACGGGCGCATTCCCACACCTAGCTAATTTTTTTTATTTTATTGCAGAGATGATGTCACACGATGTTGCCCAGGCTGGTCTCGAACCCGTGAACCCAGGCAATCCTCTCGCCTCAGCCTCCCAAAGTGCTGGAATTACAGGCCCGAGCCACCACGTCTGGCCATTTTTGGTTTTTTTGTCGAGGGTCTCACTCTGTCGTCACTCAGGCTGGACCTCCTGGGCTCAGGTGATCCTTCTGCCTCAGCATCCCAAGTAGTTGGGACTACAGGTACACACCACCAGACCTGGTTGACTTTTTTTTTTTTGACGAGGTCTCGCTATATTGCCCAGGCTGTTCTCGAACTCCTGGGCTCAAGCAGTCCTCCTGCCTTGGCCTCCCAAAGTGCTGAGATGACAGGCGTGAGCCGCCATGCCCAGCCTATTCCTAAATGTTTTTCTACTCTTTCTACACACGTATTTATCCATAAACCACGTATACAATTATTTATTTTCATAGGCAGTTGATACCCTTTTGCAAGTTACTCCTCTTCACCCCATTATAAATTCTGAGACGTATCCTGGCAAAACACATAGGCTGATAATTCTTTTTAACTACTATGGCCCATTAGTTGTGAAGTAAAAGAATGTGCTTCCCCACTTTCCTCCCAGGGGGAGTCAGCGGCTGCTACTTCCTGCCTCTGTCTCGCCTACACACATCCTCTGTCCCAGCCTGACTCACCAGGAGAAAGCGAGCCCTGCACAGCACCTCTGAAATGCAAGTTTTCCAGGGAACTTTCCAGGGAATGAGAAAGAGAAGTCACAAGCCTCTTTCAAGCAAGGCAAAGACTGAGAAGGGAGGGGAAAGATGCCATCGTAATGGCGGTAAGGGTAGACACTGATCTCATTACTTAGGCACAAATTGCGGCTTTAAAAGTTCGGAAAAAGTGTGATGGCTCACACCTGTGCTCTGGGCAGACACCTGTAATCTCAGCGCTTGGGGAGGTGAGAGGACTGCCTGAGTCCAGGGGTTGGAGACCAGCCCAGGCAACCTGTCAAGACCTCATCTCTCCAATAAATTTTAAAAATTATCCGGGCCTGGTAGCAGGCGCCTGTAGTTCCAGCTGCTTGGAAGGCTGAGGCAGAAGGATCTCCTGAGCCCAGGAGATCGAGGCTGCATTAGCCATGAGTGTGCCACGGCACTTCAGTCTGGGTGACAGAGTGCGACTTGGACTCAAAAAAAAAAGTTTGGAAAAAGCCCATTTCAGAGCAGTAGGGTTTTGTGTACAGCCCACACGCCATTAGAAGAAATTCTCCTGGTGCAGGTTCCACCAAGGGCAGAACGCAGAGGGACCCATTTGCCCCGTGGCTTTCCTCCACGCTTTAACGCTCCGCGCTGCGTGGAGTCGTCTTACGTCATCATAGGGAAATTCAGTGGAGGCACTGAGCATTTGTTATACACAACTCAACGTCTTGCCAGTCCTGTTCACACCACTACTTCGCTGAACACTGGGGGACAAAAGAGGAGCATCGAGCCACGGCTGCTATTTCGGTGTCACAGACACAACCGCTGAGACTCGGAGCGCTCAGAGAGCTCGCTCAGGGCCACACGGAAGGCGAACAGGCTTCAGAGCTGTGAAGCCACAGAGGCCGGCAGAGCAGAAGCCACATCAGCACCAGCAGGGCGCCTCGCGGAGGGAGCCTCTGGCTGCACACCTGTGGCTAATCGTGACGACGAGGACAGCAGGACGCATAGGGCCCGGGTGACACCGAACCAAGGAGGTGACATACGGAAGCCTCACATGGCTTCGGAGGAAACATAATGAAGCCGCTTTCCTGTAACCTTGGCGACCGTCACTAGAGTTTCAAGAAGAGGTTTTTCTGCACATCGGAAGCATCATCCATATGCTGGCTTCCATTTGTCAGCCTCCTGGGCTGCTGCCCGGCACCGACCAGGTGTTCCTGCGCCCAGGAAGCCCTGCGGCTAACGGTGTCTGCCAGAGTGCAGCTCAGGGACGCGGTGCTAGAGAAGAGTCCACCGCCAGCAGGGCCATGGTGCAACTCACCGATCGTGGAGTGAGGGAATCTTGGTAGGGCACTGCAAATACTGCTTAAACCGGAGCTCGAAGGCTTGTCCTATGGCGCCGATGACATCCTGGGCCAGCCCATCGCAGCACTCCAGAATGTGACAAGCTGGAGAGAAAAGGACACGGGTGCGTTAGAGATGGACACTGGTGCTGCCTGGGCTCCTCTACAGAGCCTCCCAAGGACAAGGACAGAGAGGCACCTACCTCCCTCCTCCCAGGCCCCAGCGGATCTGCCTGCAGCTGGGCCCCGGGGGGGACACACAGCTGGGCTTCAGGCAGTCATGCGTTTCCCAATAGGAAGCCATAGGGCCCATTGATAACACGTTAAAGAATCTTCAAGTTCAAACGGATGGTTCTTCCGTTTCTTTAGAGTCTATAAAAACATCCATTCTGACCTCGATAGGGAAAGTGTCTAGAAGAAAACCTCAGTACAACAAACAACCTGCTCTTGGCATGAAGCCATTCCCTTTAAGGCCCTTGGGCCTTAAAAATTTGACTTAGGGCTGGGCACAGTGGCTCACACCTATAATCCCGGCACTTTGGGAGGCTGAGGTGGGAGGACTGCCTTAACCCAGATGTTTGAGGCCAATCTAGGCAACATAGGGAGACATGGTCTCTATAAAAAAAACAGCCAGTTGTGGTGGTGTGAACCTGTAGTCCCAGCTACTCAGGAGGCTGAGGTGGGAGGGTCACCTGAGCCCAGGAGGCAGAGGTGGGGGTGAGCTGTGATCGTGCCACTGCACTCCAGCCTGGGCAACAGAGTGAGATTCCAACTCAACCGGAAAAAAAAGGTCTTAAACTGGGACCTGTGGAGTAAATCTTGATCTGTTCAGTGAGTTGAGAGCCAGTTATTTGCTTGCTTCTTAGTGAGAGTCAAGTGTTGGCCTCCGTATGTGGCCACTCGAAACAGTGAGCACAGCCTTTGAGGATGAAAGTGAAAGCCTGTTAATTTTCACAGAACCAACACAACAACAAACTATACACATCTGTGGAAATTTGAGCCTGATATCAGTGCATACTCTCGGACAAGCAGCTTGTGCAAAAGAGCTGAGAAAGTCAGGAGCACGGGTGGGTCAGGACAAGGTCACCCTGAGGCTGGCAGAGGCCTGGGACGGTCCGCAGGCGGACGGCAGGTGCTGCCATCCTAGGACACGCTGGTCCGGGGTGAGGCCGTGGGATGATCCACGTGAAACCTTCAGAGATACGAGGGCCTCTCTGCCTCTGCCCCATGAGGAAATAGTCTTTCTTCTCGGGGGCTGGGAAGTGCTCCTTGTCCACTCGACGTGTCCATGTGTCCCGTGACCAGCCTAGCGAGATCTTCTACTTATGAGACACAGAAATTCTCCCTGGAGAGCTCAACTGCCGCCCGTCACACCCCAGCTGCCTCCGGCACAGTCACGGCGTCACTGGAGGCTGGGAAGTTCCTCTAGGAGGAGGGCATTTCTACGGCCATGATGCCCCCGCCTGGCGGTGACTGACACCGGGGCATGCCCTCCGTGGAGGAACGGCCTCGTGAGGCGGGAAGGTTGTTCAGGGAGGGGACGGCGAGCGCAGCCACCAGTGAGGCGGCTCCCATGGTAAAGCCCCTGAAGGAGCCAGGCCCCGGGCTCAGTTTCTCTCCAGATGCCAGGGCGGGTGCGCCCTTGGCTACGCAGTCTTAGTTCAGGAAGGCCGAGGGATGTGTTTACATAGACACAGGCGCCCTGGCTGTCTGTGCATTAACCACGCGTATTATTGTGTCATTGACATGATTTGCTAAGTATTATCCCAGGGAGCCACAAAGCAAGCCCCTACTAAGCAGCTGTTACCGTTGTTGACTGGGACCAATGAGAGCGTCTTTCTAGCCAAGAAGGATGTGGGGGTCTAGGTCTGAGTGAGGGAACGCCAGAAAGACGCTGGGCCTCCCGTCTGTCCCCGGATTTCCAGCCACACCCCTCCAGGCCCTGCTGTCTTCCACCAGCACCAGCCAAGGACACTGGCTGGTCAGGATACCGGAGAGCCAGAGAAAAGACTGGAAGAGGGTCCAGTGGTGGGGGGCGCTGTTTTTCTTTTAAGAAGAAAATTGGTGCCCTCATCTTTGGACTGGAGAAGAGTAAGACTTATCCCATAGAGTCCGTCATCCTCAGTGATCTGTCACAGAAACAAAGACCTGAGCACCACAAGTTCTCACTCATAAGCAGACCCTGAGCATTTGCCAAACACTGTAAGAAAGGGACTGGCAGTAGTGGGACGCGGCCAGGGAGAGGGCCAGAGGGCAGGCAAAGTGGGGAGCAAAGGGAGGCCCAGACTTTACCTGTACGATGACCACTTGTGTACCTAATCCCGAATTGTACCCCACATCTTTAAAACCAAAACAAAGGGGAAAAAGACGTATTCAGGGTGGCTGTTGGCTCACGGACACATGCCACTGACCTTCTACACACCAGACAGCATGGGGTCTGAGAAGGGACCCCTCTGAAGAGGCCAGGCTGCTTGGCTCCATGCAGAAGTCCCCCGGCATGGCGAGAGTCAAGCCCGTCGGCCCAGGTGACAAATACGGCAGTAGTGCCTGCAGGGAGTGAGCAGCCCACGGTCTCTCCAGAATGAAGCCAGACTCCAGAGCCCACCCAAGTGGACAGCCTCCGGGAGCACCGTGTGGACAGCGGGGCCCTTCCAGAGCTGGGCAGAAAACCCTTCAGGACATCATGTCCCTCCACACCCCCAGGCATGGTCCGAGATGGTTTCCACAGCCCCCTCAAGTGCCCCGGCTTCTGCAGGAGAGCATCTGGGCTCTCTGCAACCCTCTCATCACCAAGAGTTCGAATCACAGCCATCGTCCCGATCAGCTGGCTGCGGGCAGGGGGTGCCTTGGAGACACCCGGCGTCATGACTCAGATGAGCAGTGTCTGCCGTCTTCATCTTAAGGAGCTGGTAACCCACACCCCTTAAAAAATGCTAGGAACTAAGGAATTCTAACCAGAGAAACAGAAGCTCCCTGGACTCAGAGTTACCAGCCAGCCCCAGTCTGTTCCACGCGGTCACACACTCGTCATTGCTCAGATTTCTAATCAGCAATGAGTAAGAAATCCAAGATCCGACTATGAGGCTATGAAGAGCTGTCTGGCATGTGTCCAGCCCCAAGGGACAAGTTACGGCTATCAGGAGACAGCATATTGCACCACTGGACCGGCAGAAATCAAAAGGTCGGAAAGCGCCAGGTGTTGAGCAAAAGGAGCCTTCCTGCACCACATGCGAAATACGAGGTGAAAGGACAGTTTCGGAAAAGTTGAAGATGCCCCGAGACATCTCGGCTGCCAGGTACCTGCATGAGCACAAGACAATCAGAACAAAACACTTACTGAAGGCTTCCCCTAACAGACACGTATTGAGCATCACGTGTACCAGGCTCTGCCCTAGGATCTGGGAATAGACCAAGGAACAAAACAGTCTCTGCTCTCACCAGACGTGCGGGCTAGAGGGTGGACACCAAAAAGGAAGGAATAAAAATATGCCTCTATCCTGAGTTGAATGGTGCCCCCAAAAGACTTGCTCCCTCCCTGACCCCCTGGGAACCTGTGAAAAAGGGTCTTTACAGATGTGATTAAGTCTCCTGAGATGAGGAGGTCACCCTGGATTGGGTAGACTCTACATCCATGACGAATGTCCTCAGAAGAGACACAGGGGCTGGGCACAGTGGCTCATACCTACAATCCCAGCAATTTGGGAGGCCAAGGCAGGAGGATGGCTCGAGCCCAGGAGTTCAAGACTGGCCTGGGCAGCACAGCAAGGCCCCACCTCCACAAAACAACCCGAAAATTAGCCAGGCCTGGTGCTGTGTGCGGTAGCTCCGGCGACGTAGGGGGCTGAGGTGGAAGGCTCGCCTGAGCAAGGGTCAAGGATGTGATGAGCTGTGGTCGTGTCACTGCACTTCAGCCTGGGTCTTCACAGAGGGAGACCCCAACTCAAAGAGAAAGAGAGAGACACAAGAGAAGACGCAGGAACAGAGGAGAAGGATGTGACGCTGGAGACGGGGAGTGAAGGGCTGAGGCCACAAGCTAAGGATGTCCAGGCCCGGAAACTGGAGGGGCAAGGAGGGCCTCCCAAGAGCCGCCGAGGTGCGCAGGCCTGCTGACCCCAACTTCGGACGTCTGGATTCCAGAATGGGGACTGGATGCCTTCCCACTGTTTTGGGCCCCTCGCTTGTGATCCTTAGTCCCTGCAGCCCTCAGAGATGCAGACTGTGGAAGGCAGAGGAGACCACGGTGTGGGGAGCTCTGCAGAATGACCCAGAGGTGGTGCTGGAGGACACGCCTGCAGGGCACCGGGGAGTGAAGTGTGGGAAGGCATGACCGGCCACGAGACCAGCAGGTGCAAAGGCCCAGGGGCAGGAGCCTGCTGGGTGCATTCAGGGAAGATCCAGAAGTCAGTGTGCCTGGAAAGGTGGGGCAGGGGTGTCAGAAATGGGGTGAGACTGAGCAGGAGTGAGCTCACAGGGGGGCCTGGGGGATGGGACCCTTTACTTGGGGTGAGCAGAGGAGGAGCAGGATCGCACCTTTATTTTTATTTTGAGATGGAGTCTCACTCGGTCGCCCAGACTGGAGTGCAGCGGCCGCTCCCGGCCACCGCAGCCTTGACCCGCTGGGCTCCGGTGATCCTTCCGCCTCAGCCTTCCGAGTAGCCGGAATTACAGGCACGCGCTACCACGCCGGATGATATTTGGATTTATTGTAGAGATGTGGTCTCGCCTGCCCAGACGGGTCTCTAACCCGTGGGCTCAGGCAATCCACTCACCTCAGCCTCCCAAAGGCGCGGGATGACAGGCTGAGCCACCGAGCCCGGCTGGATCATACCTTTAAAGAGGATCCTCCTGGCTGCGGAGAAAAGACCTGGGGCGCCGAGAGACCCGGTTCTGAACGGTGGCACCTGTGGGCACAGCTGGCCGGCATGGAGACCAGCAAGGCTGGAGAAGCGGGGAGGAGGCGAAGGCGGCCAGGAGTGCTGCGGGCAGAGGCCAGCGGGTGCGTCTGGAGCAGGAAGGTGTTAGATTTCAACCCACGATTTCCTGAGCTCGAGGAAGCCATAGCATGAGGGGCCTGGTGAGACCCTCGGGGAAGATGTGGGGTGGGC